AACATGGCCCGGGTGGACCTGCTCTTATCACATAAGCCTTAGGGAGAGAGCGTTTTCCTGCTAGTGACAGATGAAGAAAGCAGAAAGAAAAGTCAGAGATTCAGAGCATAAGAAGGATTCAGCATTTTCTTGCTGGCTTTGAAGACAGAGGGGGCCATGTCTAGAGCAGACACAGGAGCTGAGAGTGACCCTGGCCAACAGCCAATAAAGAAACAGGAATCTCACTCTTACAGTCTCAAAAGACTTGATTCCACCAACAACCTGAATAAGCTTGGAAGTAGCTCTTTTCTTTGAGCCTTCAAACAAGAGAACTGCCTGGCCAACACATTGATACTGGTGTTGTGGTGCCCTTGGTGTAAAACCCAGAGTGATCTAAGTGAGCTTCTGACTTAAAAAACTGCAAAATAATAAACTGGTCTTATTTTAGCTGCTAAGTTTGTGGTAATTTGCTATGCGGCAATGGACAACTAATAAATTAGCAAATCCTGCTTTTTTTTTATTCTTTTAAGGATTGGTTTATAACATACATCTTTAATTTAATCACAGTCTGCTGCCAGATAATATTATACAACTTTATGTATAACCTAAGAACCTTACAGCTGTGTAACTTTTCTTCTTCCCTTCTTCTCTCTTCTGCTGCTGTTTAAAAATATTTATTTAGAGGCAGAGCCTCCTTCTACACCCAGGCTGGTGTTCAGTGGCCCACTCACTATAGCTTCAAACTACTGGGCTCAAGGTCTTCCACCTCCTAAGCCCCCTGCATAGCCAGGACTGTAGGAATGCACCACCATTCCTGGCTAAGTTTTAAATATTCTTAAAAATCTCACTGGAAAATTATATTTTTGCTTTAAACTGTCCAAAGCTTTTTAATAAAAGCTTTGAAAGGTACAAATATTTTATGATTATCTACATTATCCACGTATTTACTATTTTTAAGCAATTGCATTGCTTTATATAGATGATACTATGCTGTTATCATTTCTTTATTCCTTTAACGTTGCTTGTAGTGAAAGTCTTTTGACAATGAATTCTCTCAGCTTCTGTTTGCCTTTCACCTTCGACAGGTTTTTCTCCCTTGTATGACTTTAGAGACATCATTTCATTGTTTATCTTGTATTATTTTGCACAAGACAACTTTGGTTAATTCTTACCTTTACTTTTGTATGTATGGTGTCTGTCTTTTTTCCTACAGATGCTTTTAAAATTTATCCTTCATCACAGATTTTCAGAAATTTTATTTCAAGGTAGTTTGATACAGTTTTTTGTGTATATTCTACCAAGCTTCTTGGATCTGGATGTTTATAATTTTCAGAAAATTTAGAAAACCTTCAGAGCCATTATTTCTTTAAATATTTTTTTCTTTCTAACTACCCCCCTTTCCTTTGGGGCTTCAATACACATACATCAGACTACATGGTATATGTTCACAGTTGAATGAAATTCTATTAACTTTAAAAATCTTTTTCTTCCTGTGATTAATTTTGGGAGATGTCTTTGGCTGTGTATTCAGGTTTTTTTTCATTTTTTTATGTATTCGTTTTTTAATCTTTTCTTTTGCAGTGTTTAATCTACTATTACTCCATCTAGTGACTTCTTAAATTCAGATAATGTATTTTTAACTTTTAAATGTTCAGTTTGATTCTTTTTAATGTCTTGTTTCTCTCATTGTTTTCATCTTTCTTTAACGTTTGAACTGATTTTATTTAGTTATTTAATGTCTTCGTTTACTAACTCTAATACTTCTGTAATTTCTGAATCTGTTTTTAATAAAGAATTTCTCTTGGTTAAAGATTTTATTTTCCTACTTCATAGCGAGTTTAATAATTTTTTATTGGATGTCGGACATTGTGTGCTACATTGCTGAATATTTGGATTTTGTTGTTTTCTTATAAAGAATGTAGAATTTTGGTATGGTTTTTGTAAGCATTTAAATTACTTGTAGAACAGCTTTGGTTTTTTAGTCTTGCTTTTAAGTATTGTTGGGTGGCTCTACATTGCCCTTTTTCCAGGACTATTTTAGTGCCATTATTTAGTTATGAAACTTCTTGGGTCTCTATTGGATGCCTGCTATAGTTAACAAGGCCTCTCCTATTTGGTCAGAACATGAATACCTCTCTACCCTGGGTAAGCTCTGATAATTATTTAGCTTACATCTTGCGGTAGGTAGAATTTTAAGATGACTCCAAAAGACACCCACTTTTGTATAGTTGCCTTCTTCTGAATACGATCACTACTGTGATTGTGTTACTTAATACAGTGATAGGAAGGTTATCCAAGGTGGGACAGCCTTTATCAGGTGAGCCCTTTTAAAGAAGAGATTTCTCTGGCTGATTGCAGAATAAAAGCCCCATGTCTGAAAAATACCATTCTTTTCTGCGTTTTTTTTGGGGGGGGGGTGAGGGGTTAATGTTTTCTTGTGAAAGTTAAAATTGTATATATGCTTAGAATTCCATTGTATGAATGTAGCACAATTATTTATGCAGCCAACTATTAAGAAATATATAGTTTCAACTTTTATGAAGCAAGGAATGCTGAAATGACCTTTCAGTCACTGTGTCTAGTGTACATGTATGACAGTTTATGTAGGGAATAGCCTTTACAGTTAAGACCCTAAGTAAATAGAATGCATACATTTTTAAATTACTACAGATGGTCCACAACTTACAGTGGTTTGACTTGAGATTTTTTGACTATGATGGTATGAAAATAATGTGTTCAGTAGAAACCATACTTCAGGCATCCATATGGACAGTCTATTTTTTTCTTTCAGTATAATATTCAATAGTTTACATGAGATAAATACTTTATTATAATATAAAATAGGCTTTTGTGTTAGATGATTTTGCCCAATTGTAGGCTAACAAGTGTTCTTAGGTAGGCTGGGCTAAGCTATCATGTTCAGTAGCGTCAGCATATTAAATGCATTTGTGACCTATGATATTTTCAATTTGCAGTGGGTTTGTCTGGATACAACTCCATTGTAAGCTGGGGAGCATCTGTAGATACTGTGTATTACCAATTGTTCTTTAGTGTGGCTGTCCAGATTTGCATTCCACCATAACCTTTCATGTTGTTCTCCATCCTTATAACATTTAGTATTGTCAGAATTAAATTGTAAATAATTATATTGGTGAGAAATGTTATTTTATTGTGGTCTCAATTTACATTTCCCTGATACATAAATAATAGCTCTGGGCAGTGCCTGTGGCTCACTGGGTAGGGCGCCAGCCCCATATACTGAGGGTGTCAGGTTCAAACCCAGCCCTGGTCAAACTGCAGCAAAAAATAGCTGGGCGCCTGTGGTCCTAGCTACTTGGGAAGCTAAGGCAAGAGAACTGCCTAAGCCCAAGAGCTGGAGGTTGCTGTGAGCTGTGACATCACAGCATTCTACCAAGGGCGATAAAGTGAGACTCTGTCTCTAAAAAAATAAAATAAATAAATAAATAAATAAATGATGGCTCTGAAAGTTTCTAAATTTTCTGAAATTGGTCACCTAGAGCACCTTTAAATATAGTTACTGGCCAGATGAGCTTCGAGATTTAGTCTTCAGTATAATCACTCCAATTTCTCAAACTCCATTATGCCTGATAAAGAGATTTAAGCATCTGAAGTCCTCAGATACAATATAGAAAATCTTCCAAAGTATGAAATTATTCCCTGAGTCATGTCAGTTATTTCTGGTTATCAAAATGTGATTCTTGCCATGGTTTTTATTGTGTCGTTCTCAGTTGTGGCAGTCTCTCAGCTTCTCCCACTCTAGTTTTTCTGGCTGTAGAAAGAATGACCAAAAAACCTTAAGTCACTGAAGCTTAAGACAGGCTAAGATATGAGGAAACAAAAGAACATTACTCTAGCTAAGACTAATAATAGCAAGATTTGAGGCGCTCACAAAAAGTCTAGGTTAGCAATTCAAGAGTGAGCTAAGGGATGGAACCACACACTTTTTAGTATCTTTCTTCCCTTGTGAACTATCTACAGAGCTCTCAAACTCTTCCCAGCACCAATGTGGGAATTTCTAAAAAAATTCTTGTTTTTGTACAGAGGTAATGAGTAAAACTGTATCTTTTACAAACATGTCATTAATAAATTATTTCCAATAAAGGAAGCCATGATAGCCATGATATTCCCCTGACTCTATCCTTGGTGCTAACTCGGTGTAACTTTGAGCCCAGGGGATATATTTTCTGCCCTTTTAATAGTTTGAATTATCATTTGCTGCGCTATATTACAGTATTCAGCCTGCAGTGTCCTCCCACTACGGTAGTCCAAGTAAAATGTAGCTGATGTCCGTGATATAGACAATGTAATAGATTGGGGGTGTATCATACAACTACTAGCTTTTTTGGAGGAAAAGGTGTGGGTATCTATGTTTACATTAATTTGGAAAGGTTTTATTTCATAAATACTGAAAATCCAAGGAGGAGGTCATTTGGTTCAAGTTCGACAACAGAAAATTTCTATCAGAACCTTGACTATTTTGTTGAGTTGATTTCTTTATGACTCAAGGACCAGCCTTCTTTTATTTCCTTTGGTGGAAAAATGTCTAAATCTTAAGAGATAAAAGCCTGGGAAAGGTTTCTTCACATTTGGACTGAATTACCACTTTTGTTATTCAGACTACCTTCGCACTTCTTAAATGTTTGGTGAACCTCACTCATGAGTATAACCAGGCTACAGACATGACGCTTTACAACAATGGTCATGGTAGTTTGACAATTGATACTACTTTCTCTTGGGCCTGTTCAGATGTGTGTGAGCATGCGTCTTTCAGACTTGTCCCGAGGCGGAGTGAAACTGAAAGTGGTGTATTTAAGATGAATTTTCTCACCTACAATACAAGCTGTAGATTGCTTTTTTCTAATTGCAGCACCAGCTCCTTACAGCTGCTTCCGATCCTTTCTTACCACGTGCCGCGCTGCCAATGCGCGGAGCTTTTGCAGTTCCTGGGCTTGGGTCTCTTTAGATCTGACTGACTGAGGCCGGCTGTTGTCTTCCCACAGGTGATCCAGGCTGTCTTTTTTGGCATCTGCGTGCTGACTGACCTTTCCAGCCTTCTGACGAGAGGAAGTGGGAACCAAGAGCAGGAGAGGCAACTCAAGAAGCTCATCTCTCTCCGGGACTGGATGTTGGCCGTGTTGGCCTTTCCTGTGGGGGTTGTGAGTATGGTATAGAATGTATTTAGCCACAAAAGAAACTTGGGTCTTATTTCTTCTGAGAGAAAAAAAACGAAGGGCTCATTATGCAGTTTGCTGGAGTATTTTGCTACAGTTGCCACTACCACAGATAGGGTGGCTTGAACAGCAGAAATTTATTTTCTCACAGTTCTGGAGGCTGGAAGTCTAAGGTCAAGGTGTTGGTTTCTTCCGAGGCCTCTCCCCTTGCCTTGCAGGTGGCCACCTCCCCCTTGTGCCCATGAGAGCTCGCCTCTGGTGTCTCTTCCTCTTCTTGCAAGGTTCCCAATCCTATTGGATTAGAGCCCCATCTTTATGACCCCATTTAACCTTAATTAGCTTTTTAAAAACCCCGTCTTCAAGTACAGTCCCATTCTGAGGTTCTGGGGGTTAGGACTTCAGCATAAGAATTGTGGGGGACACAGTTCAACTCATAAAAGTTTCTTAAGGAGCCCACACTTGAAATGTATGGTTCTTAAATTGACCATCCTAGTAGTTTTGTAACTTGAGAGAGGAAATCAGTATTACCTCATACTTCTTCACTTACTCAACTGTGCCATTAGCTAATATCACTTAAGTAAATGCCACTTAATGGGAAGGTCTGTTCTGGCTTCATTGATTTTCGTTGTTTTCAGTTACATTTCCCTCTATAGCTCAACTTCCTTCACAAGTCTGTTAATTTTCCATCGTCTGCATATAAACCATGCTCCTTTAAAGGCCCTCTGAGACTCTGTAGATTTTAAGCTGGGTATAGCCAGGAGAAGGATGAGAGAACTCTTGCATATCCCAGATTGTGAGGGTAAGAGTGTGTTACTTAATTCAAATTTACACCTTTCATTTGCCAGCTGATTTCTGGGAAAAACAGAAGCCCCAGTGATGGGGCTAGCATAGTCCAAGGCCCAGTGTAGGAAGAGTCAGAAAGTTATTCAGAAATCCTTCCAGTGGCTCTTCGCCAGGTCTCTGGCTGGCAGAGGCCCCTACATGCTCGCTCTAAGACTAATTAGTAGGCACTCAGATGGTCACAGAATTGCTTTTTCCATGTGCTGAGTTGTGTTTTCTTGGGTGAAACAGCTCTTTGCTCTTGAGAACAACAGAGGGTTGGGGGAACATTAAAATCTGGGCACACTTCTCTTTGCTTTCCTTCATCTCGTCTTCTGAAAACAGAAGTAAATGGGTGCTGACGGCGAAGCCATCTAGTAAATCTCTCAAATTCTGTTACCAGAACAGATTTAAATGCTTTACACATTACTTAATAATCCCCTCTTTGACTTGCCTTATAAGATTCAAATATTTTCTATCAGAATGGTCATCTAAGAAAAAATTCCCATTGCATAAAGTATAACAAAGGCTTTCTGTATCAAAGAGTTGTCTAAAAAATCTCAATCTGTGCGTATGCGTGTATCTTTTTTTTTTTTTACTCCTTCCTTAGAATTTCTATAGAGTGGCATGGCCTCTGGAAGTACAGACTAGAAAGAATATAGCAGTAATACAGTAAAAACAAAACTAAATAAAAACACAGGATGAGTACATCTCTCCTTAGCTCTCCCTTTCCCACATCCTATGGCATTAAATTGTATGTCCTGCCACTCTCCTTAAAGACTCATTCCATAAAGATTGCATTTTTGACATTCCTTTGTGGGGAATGTTTTGTACCCGCTTAAGAGTATGGTATCTGTCAACTTTCAGTGTCCTTCCTGAATTTAGCCCATGTATGCTTTGTGGTTAAGAAGAGTGGTGGCTGGGCGGTGCCTGTGGCTCAGTGAGTAGGGTGCCGGCCCCATATACTGAGGGTGGCGGGTTCAAACCCAGCCCTGGCCAAACTGCAACAAAAAAATAGCTGGCCGTTGTGGTGGGTGCCTGTAGTCCCAGCTACTCAGGAGGCTGAGGCAAGAGAATCACCTAAGCCCAAGAGTTGGAGGTTGCTGTGAGCTGTGATGCCACAGCACTCTGCCAAGGGTGACAAAGTGAGACTCTGTCTTAAAAAAGAAAAAGAGTGGTGACCTTTTTGTTTGCATATTTCTGATGTTTCATGGTTTCCCTATTTTGTTGTTTTGCCCACGTTTTGGAAGAAGGAAGAAGGATAAAAATATCTTTCAGTTCCACCCCCATTTTAACCTGAAGTCACAGTCATACTTTCACAGTGTGTGTTTGCACCTTCCCTCCTGATAAACTGTGACAGCAGGACTGGCCCTCAGGAGTGCACCCAGGGTCTCCCACTCACCTGGCACATGGGTAACCTGTGCTTTTCAAGTTTGTGGCTGAAGTTGAAGAGTAAATGAAGAATCAGGGATGTGCGAAGTGCTGATTCCTTTAAACTCATTTTTTCCTGCCCACTGATATTTTATAGTCACTGTTTCCCTTTTTCAGAATCTTCACTGTTATTGTGAGTCACTTTCCCCTTTACGGTCACTAGCCTGTTATTTTTCGTGAACTGTTTGAAGTTCCTTTCAAAGAACTTCTTCCTACCTCTCTCTCTCTCTCATCTGTTAAGAAGAGTCTTGGTCAATGTTCTCTACAAATCGCTTATGTTTCCAGCGTTCCTCCTGTTTCTATCTTACTCTGCCATTTAACTTACCTGTTCCCACCAAATTTCTCCTTCTGATGCACAGAGATTCATTTCGAGGCAAAAAACTGATCAGTGGCTTCCTCCCAGACCCCCTAATTGCAAAGTTATATTTACAGAGGTTATGGAGGTGCCTCATTATAAGCATTTTAACCCCCAATTATTTTTCTTTAAAGCATTTCATTTTGTAGCTTTTCACTTTTCTTTTTTTAGGATTATTTCCCAAACTTCCTTTCCACTGTCCCCATGTCTTTGCTGTGAGTCAGAGACCTCCCCCTGCCCCTTCTGTACCTTTCTGTATTTTTTTTCCCAGCTGCTCAGAAGGGTCTAGAATCCCACTGTAGTTTTGTTATCGTGACTTCAGACTTTCTTCCTTATTAAGGCATTAACCTCCCTGGAGCAATACCAGGAGGAATCACTTGAAGAGGCCTCAGGTTTGCTCTTCCTGTGGCTCCTGGGAGGGTAGGAAGATGGCCAGCCTGGAGGCTGATTTCAGCAGAAGGATAGAATTGCATTAATATAAGAGTCATATTATACCTGTACCAATCTGAAGCATAAAAATGCTGTCACGTGTGCAAGTGATCAATGATAACATTTAACATTTTGGTTGATGCAGTCAAAATCCTAAAGGGCAAAACACTCAAGCACCCTCCCTGTGCCAGGAGCGCACTGGGCGTCACGCGAGCATCCTCAGCTGGAAAGTGCACAGCCTGGGCTGTGAAGCCCCGGTGCTCCTCAGAGGCCACCTCCGCTCTGCCACCCAGTCTGATGGGGACTGCCAGCCTCACAGAATGTGACCCTGGCTGTTATCTATTGGCTTCCTCCACCTCACACTTTTGTTTGTCAATCAGAAGTTTACCAGGAAAGCAATGTTAGTTTTTGCTTCAAGGTGCAGGCAGACTGGCAAGGACCAGACATAAAAGGAGAGCAAAGAGCAGCAGCTGAATTTGTCACCTCTGCTTGAATTGTCCTAAAGAGACCTTTTGGCCTCTGAGCTTTGCCTGGTGCTCCCATTAGCTGGCTGTCTCTCTCTCTCTCTCCTCATCTGCAACTATGGCAGCAAGAGAGACACGGGTGGGTTATCCAGGATTTGTATTTTCCACGCTAATGCTTCCTTCAGTAACGAGGTTAATTGAGAGTTGACAGTAATTGCTTTATGTGAACATAAAGCACTAAATAGGATATTGTGACTGACCCATGGACCAAATGCATCCACTTCATGGTCTCAAGGATGTATAAAAATAATGAAACATTCCTAATCAAAGATAATTGGAGTAGAGTTTCATTTCAGCATAACCTTGAAGAAATCAGGCAGGGTTGCTTGAGTGAGCGTGGCATGTATCATCCTGATTCCTGTAGATTCCCATAAATGCAAAGCTGGCCTTGATTAGTAACGCTAATGGCCGGAAACCACCACCACTCCCAAAGCCTTGCAACTCATTTTACAGGGATAACCCTTGGGAGGCTCTTCTTACCATGTGTAGTTTATTTCTGAACCCTGTCACCCTTTTAAAGAAGCATTACAAATAATTCTATGACATTATGTGGTCTGGAAGCACTGAAGTTTATTAGGAGCAATCAAACCAAGAATGTCTTTTGTCTCCTGTAAGTTTGTTGACTTTCATGCTGGCAGATACCATTATAGTTAAGAGACCTGGGCTTAGGCTTTTAAGAAAAAAAAAAAGAGTCTGATGAGTATGAAAATGTCTCTCTCAGAAACTCTGTGTCTCCAGCTGCTATCCACAGTAGTTCTTTAATGAAAAAGAATAATTATATATACTTTTTTTTCTTATTAATTCAGATCTGTCTAAGGTCAGACAGTTAAGTTTATGAACCCATCCTAGAAAGTACTCCTTGAGGAGTACCTCGAGGTACTCCTTGAATATCTCATTCGTTTGTCACTGCTCAGCTTGAATAATACACAAAGCCAAGCATCATCTCCTCACCAGTACACACTTTTGTCCTCATATTACTTTGGGTTGCTCTAACCCAGGTGCTGCTCTGGCCCGTCATGGTGTGTGATGATGTTCTTCTCTGAGTGGCCTGAGGAAGCCCTGGATGTTTGGATCTATTTTTACCCAGGATGGATGTCCTGAGAATCAGGATCCAATCAGTATGTACCTGTATAAACTTCTCTGGAATCCGGCTTCCTTATTTCAGTAACAGTCTCAAGCCTATTTGTTAAGTAATCATTTCTGGTGTTATAATCATGCCTGACAGTCTTCATTTATGGACATACTAAACTAATTCTAAGCTATCTTTAAGAAAAAATTTGAGATACACATAAATTTAGACCGTTATACCCCTACAATTTAAAAAGTGTTATTTTCATTACTTATTTTTAAGCAAAAGAGATTAGCGTAAATGGAGAAAAAGCATATTAATTAATATTAATGGTTGATATGAATGTCTATTGATGTAA